TTTTTTCTTCAAAGATGGGTAAAGATAGGGAAGACTCGGTAAACGCTGATGACTCCCACTCCGAGGAGAGTCCCTTAGCTGCGAAAGAAGAAGAAGAAGACGCAGACCTCTATCTCGATGTTCCAGATTTCGCCTCTCCGGATCGAGGAGACTTATTTGAGGGACTGGACGACGAGGGGTGGGGCACGATTCCGGACGATGCAGCAAATTCGCATCATGATGAGGGAAATTTGTTACATTAAGGGTTTCCGAATTTTTACATCCCTCACTACCATCCTTGGCCTGTTTTCAAGGGGGAAATAGGTCAAGGATGTTCTGAATAATGCAACTCGGCAACCTTTAATTACATCGTCAACACAAGCATCAAGAAGCTATAGGAGCTCAAGTACTCTCTTTTCCGCCTGCATCCTCTTCGGCAAGCAATGTCAATAAGATGCCACGACAGCGCTTTTTGGGTACGAAAAGAGCTCCCCTAGAAACGATACACGAGGAAGGCATGGGATTCGAGGATGACGGTTTCTCGCTCGAGGATGTACCCGCAGGACGAGAAGGTTTTCGAGCCGAAACCAGCTTTATTCCCGGTGATGCTTCCGTTGCCGCACCAGAGGCCGACGTGCCGATGGACATCGACTCCGAAGACCAGACGACGACTAGAGGAAACATCTCCGACAAAGATCCTCTATTACCGCAGCACCATGATGAAAAAGCAAATGTTGCTTGTAGTGTTACTTCTTCTAGCAGAGGTTACAACGTCCAGGAGCACCTGGGCGGAAAACCGCTTCTACATCAAGAAGATGGTGGTGTAAAACTAAAAGTGGACGATCAAGAACTACAGAACAACAAGATGGACGCGGGTGTGAAAATGGACGAGCTGCAGAACAATGGACCACCAACAGAAGCTCATCCAACAGAAGGAATTCTTGTACCATCATCAAAGCGCTACAATTCCGCACCAACGAATACAATCACAAAAGGAGTAGTTGAAGTAGACGAGACGAATTTTACTGGTAAAGATCTTCATCTTGTTGGTGGTCTTTCGACAACAGGAGGACCAGCAGAGCTGAGACGCTTGCCTGTGCACGAAATGAAGAAGCTGAATGCCGAACGGGGTTGCCGCAACATTCAACTAAGGCTCTCACTATGTATAGGAATTCGTCTTTGGTTGACTACATCGCTTATCTTTTGTGTTTTTCCCTAGTTAGGTCTGCTCCACCACAAAATATTAGGCAATATGTTCATCTGGTTCTTCATCGTGAATTTGGGTATTCAAATATGAAGAATTATACCCCCATCGATTCCAGTACCAGTTTCACGCGCTGCTTTACTAGGTTCTCACTCTACTTGATGAATTATACTCGAATATGAGTATCTAAATATAGAAGATAGCTCTAATCCAAGTGGGTGCCAGCGTTAAGGATGTGCATCCTATCGTGAATAGGTTGGCCAAAAATGTTTCGGGATCCAAGAAGAAGCTTGCTGGTGCCAAGAAGACGAACGTTTTCGAGGAAGCCTCCAAATGCGTGCCATGCTCGTCTTCCAGTTTTATGCAATTTAACTTGTGCGTTATGTAGTGAGTGCACTGCCGTGCCGATAGTAAAGAATGACGACGGGGGGCTAGTAGAACTAGTACTCATATGTTGGGACGACTTCCTGCCGATTTCGAGAAGCACTATACCTTGTAGTCGGCTGCCATGTTCATTGTCTCTAGTACGTTGGGCGCGAGTTGGCACATAGGCAGAGGCACACAGTAGATGACATAGAACAAACTTAACTACTTGTTGTTCGTTTCATTCTTGTGAACAACCACTGGAGTGGAAGGAGATAGAACAAACTTAACTACTTGTTGTTCGTTTCATTCTTGTCTGTGTTCAACCTTGAACTACTTTCTCCTTCTAATCTCTCGTCCACGGCGCTGGTTTTACACGGCGGACAGCCAATACAACTACAGCGTCGGAAGGATCGAAATCACGTCGAAGAGCAGCTAGCAGATTCGAAGAGCCGACTTCTTGCGCGCCTGGCAGCGAAGCGACACCAGGGAGCGTAACTCGTGTTTGATTGCCTGAGAGAATTAGAATTCCTAGATTTTAGACTCTGCAAATGCAAAAACCACCACATGCGTCTAAGAAAGTTACGCTGTGATCGTCGTGATTCCTGTTTTTACTAGACATGCATAGCATTCTGATATTCACTGACTAATGCATACATAGACCGATGAAGTACACATTTAATATATTCTGATCACGTGCCACGGTCAAATGCTGCACTCATCATCCCCCTTGACGCTGAGTCATGACCACTATTAACGTTCCCTCGCAATTTTCGTAAGCATCTTTTAGAACGACCCTCCAACTACCACCAGGACTCCAAGACTTTTCTTAAATAGTCGATGCGTTCCTTGCCTAATTCTGGCCATATCACCTCTTTGTATTTTTTCAGGCTACTTACAAGCAACGGACTTTTAGGAAGAAGTACCACTCCGACGCCTCCCGCAATTGTAACAGGACGATCATCAAACAGCAGGCACTATGTAGACGCACTCAATCAACATGCGCACAGGCATTATAATCGAATTTCAGTTCTTATCTTCGCTGATGCATTCAAAGAAAGAGTTCCAATCTTCCAAAAAACTAGAGTTTCTTGTATAGCAAATAGGGAATTAGGGAATCGACTGTCTCATTGAATTATCAACTGCACACCCTAATGAAGGCGTTTCTGTGTTGAGGGAGAGTTGCGAGAGAGAATGAATTTAAATACAGAAGAGATGTTCGAGATGTGATCTGTCAGGTGAGAGGTTTTACTTAGTTAACCGAGACAGTGACAGAGTGGGTGTCATTAAGATAGAAGCTAGTAGTATAATTAATGGCACCAGTAGTTTCAAACAAGAGTATGTCTCTGCCAGTCTCAAATTCTGTGTAGTTCCGTCTGTTGCACAGTGTAGGGCAAGTGTGCTGAGAGAAATTATCAGCAGGAACGACTTGACTAAGAAGGCAATTGAAATGAGACTCAGCCTCCGTAGTGGTAGCCTCTGTAGTGGTGTGCGGTCCCTTGTTCTCTCTTTTTTGTGACTGTCAACTTCTCGTCAATTGGTGATGTGCTAATAGTACAAATGTAGTGAAGAAATCGCTTCCTTTCCCAAATGATTCTTGAAATAGAGCAGGTGAAAATTAGTGATAATTATGCCCAAGTCGATAGTGGGGCTTTTTTCATCCTGAGTAGAGTGGAGGTGAGTGAGACGTAAAATCTGATTGACACTCGACTCAGAAGCCACGCTGCTCTCTCGCAAGAATACTGCCTCTATCTAGAAGTGTCTTAATATTTTGTTTGCTTCGAAGCGCTCCTGGTCACGCGTTCGAGTGGTGCCACGGTTTGATCGGATACTAGATTTTTTTGGTTTTATTTATTTGATCATCCTCCCTGCCTTCTTGGCCAGTACTCCTTCCTGTTGTTCTATTGGTAACTGTTGTGGTGGGCATTTACGTTGTAGAGGCAACATTAGCTTCCATAGTATGCACGCGTCTAGTGCTACTAATTGTAGGAAGTAGTTGTTATAACGTCTTATGTAAGTACTTCTACATTGAGCTATACGAATGAGACTAGTTGTACCAGTGAAAGGTCACAGCGTAGTCCTAACAAAAAACTAGATATTTATTGATACATGTTGAGCCGAAATTGACAAGATGGAGGGTGCAGCACCGCCTCTTCCCGACAATCGCGCCTTGCTCATCAAATTGAAGTTTTCCAACTTGGTTACCGGTGAACAGATTGAAGAAGATGAAGGGCAGCAACACAATCCAGATCCACGCGCAAACCCCGCCCTTCTCCATCGTGGCAAGGACGCGACTGCTGGCGCGAGTGCGCAATTAACAATCTTCGATGCCAAGCAGAGACTTGCCGATGCTTTGAATAGAACTAGCAGAGGGAGAGATACGAAGAATTGCAACATCAAGGCGGGACGAGAGGACAGGGGGTCGACACAGTTACAGTCTACCGCTACGGCTGATGAAAAGGCATCCGAGAATGGCGAGCAACAGGCACGAGCTCCTCCATCCTCAGGCGCAAGCAGTTCGACTTTCAGTAGGAACAGGAGAACGGATGGAGCGTGTGTGCGGCCGCAGCGCTTTTATCCCGTGCATTTTTCTCTTTTTCTGGGTGACGAGGCTTTTGCCGATGACCATGAGTTTTCAGACGTCGTGGCAGATAGCGGATTCGCAAGTGAGAACGAGAACTACGAGTACCCGGATGTTAGAAAGAGACAAAATGTTTTCCGCGAAAATCTCATGAATATGGAGCATCTGGCTCGGTCCTGGTTCGTTGCCTCTGGTGGTACGACTGCTGATGTGCCCCCGTCGTCAGCAATTGGTAGTGGCTTTACAGCGTCCAGCTCCAGTAGCTTGCCTGCATTGAGCGGCCTTGCTTTCGATAGCGGCGAGAGCGTACAAAGTTCAGGGAATTCGTGTAGAGGCAATGGCGGAGACGGTAAGCGGAGTGGGTCAATAGAAGATCTGGCGAAGACTCGACCCTTGCGCGATACTGTGCGTCTTAGTGAAATTGCGAATTTATTACTTGTGGACTTCGAGATTATGGGTTCGACTCAAACTCAGTCGGGTTCATGGTCATCCCGTTGTAACGCTCGTGGCCACGGAGCAGGTCGTGGGGGCACAAGTGCGGTGCAGGATAACGGGAGAGAAGGAGCAATGACGGGTGTAGTGCTCCCTTTCCGGTATTTTGTGCATGACTTTGCACCCTTCGAAAACCGAGAAGAGCTAGATAATGCTCTGGAAAAAGGTGGCTATCTCTTGACAAATCAAGAGAAAAGCGGAATGTCATATTGTGAGCGCCGAAGAGGGGAGATGGAGAAGAAAAGAAGGGCTATTGTCTCCAAATACGGGCCGATCCAGATTTGGAATGTTTCTCGGATATCCTCGTTGCGGTTCCTTTTCGGTCGGGCTCCTGATTTCAATGAGGATATAAGTGGTTGGAAAACCAAAGGAGTGGAAGACATGAAGAGGCTCTTTCACGGTGCGGGTCAATTCAATCAGCCGATCGGGGACTGGGATACGAGTCAGGTGACTTCCATGCAGGGGCTCTTCCGTAACGCGCGAAAATTCAATCAGCCAATTGGGAGCTGGGATACGAGTCGGGTACATTCGATGAGTTCTCTTTTCGAAAGTGCGCTTGCATTCAATCAGCCGATCGGGGACTGGGATACGAGTCGGGCGAATAATATGCGTCGCCTCTTCTCTGGTGCGGGTCAATTCAATCAGCCGATCGGGAACTGGGATACGAGTAGGGTCACTGACATGAGTCGCCTCTTCGAAAGAGCGAGTGCATTCGATCAGCCGCTTGCAAAGTGGAACGTCTCTGCGGTGACGGATTGTACCCACATGTTTTCCGCTGCAAAAAATTTTGCGCAGCCAATTTACGATTGGCAGATCTCCGAGCAATGCCTGTTGGGTGCGATGTTTACAAATGCGACCGCCTTCCATGCGACTTACCGCACTGACGAGGCTCTTGCTACCGAGGGAGTGCGATCGTACGCCATTTACCGAGACGTTGACGCAAAAAATTTCCGTGCATATTGTACGCCAAAAATCCTCGACGTACTATAGTTCTTGTAGAATTCGTGTACCAATAGCACTATGCGGATTTTTTTTTATCAAGAATGTCAATGTGTTTGTTATTTAAACCTTGCGGCGGCCGCGTAAGTTTCTGGTAAGTCTCTGATTCCCTTTCTCAGACTTTGGACATATCATATATAAAAAGTTGTACCAGCCCAATAATGACGCTTGTTGTATTGACAAGAAGATCGACCTGCATTTTTGCGCTAGACGGAATAGTTCTATGCAGCAAAGAAGGGATCCATGTTGATCTTCCTGGGTATGGATAGTCGTTAGCTCCCAGTGAGTGACGATGAAAAAGAGAGAGATTGAGAGAAACAGCCAAGATGTTGGAAAGGTGATCTGTCAGATGAGACTCTTCGCGTCCGATATTGTGAGTGTCTTCAAAGGAGAGTGTCTTCAAAGGAGAGTGTGCTTCATCATTGTGTAGCAAGAGGCTAGAACGAGCCCGGTGAGAAAGTCTCGAGAGTCAAGCCCAGAAGGAAGCTCGCCATCGACGCTGGAACTAGAAAGCAGAAAGCCCTTGCGCCGAGCTCTGCAGCTGACGCGGCTGCGGGCGACGGGTCCAGTCTTTGCCGCCTGCCTCCGGGTATCCAGTGGCACGCGTCTTGGAGCGGTGCTGCTAAGAGTGTTTTTGGTGGGTGTTTTCGAGTATACGCGAAAGTGACGAAAGACGGCGTGTCTCGCACCATTTTCGAGAACGTAACTGTAGAGGGAAATGGAAACGATCCACGTCTAGCTCTACTTGAGGCTCGAGCAGTACTAGAGCGCATGAAGACCGACCCAGCGCCGTTCTTAGCGTCTCGAGCTGCGTGGAGAGAGAAGCGGCGCATTATCGCCGAGAAGAAGAAGAGAGAAAAAGCTCCTCGCTTCAAGTAGAAGTTATTAAAGCGTAGCAGCTGTGCAAGTACAGCGTAGGGTCGAGCTTAGTGGTTAACTCGTTTTCTAGATAAGGGCTAAAAGAAGAAAAGTAACTACAGTCAGAGGTGAGCTGTTGAGTTGTTAAACACTAAGAGTAACGAAAAAGCGTCTTTGGAAGTGAGAAAGTTTAGGCAAAGTTAAACTGTGTGAGAAACGCAAGAGAAGAGTAGTGTTGTTTTTACGGAAGTGGTTCAATAAGAAAATAAAAGAGCTTTAGCTTTCTTATTTTTCAACTTTTCTAGTCGTTATTTGGTAGTAGTCTCTGAGTAGTTAGTCGCGCCGCGACTGTTTCGGTCTTACTCGTTTACTCTAGTACTCTAAAACTAAGCTGCCCGAAGTAATAGTGGTCCCTTAGTTTTACGTTCTGACCTTTGTTTATTTTACTGACTTGTCCTGAAAAAGTAGTGGTGATTAAGCAATGTCCTTATTGTTCCTAGTAGTGATTCCTGCCTCTTCTCCCTTAAGGTTGAATTAAACTGACAGTGTGTTATTACTTCCTTTGAGTTGTCTTCTTAGTGTGCTTACTCTTTTTACTTCCTGAGCTTCCGCCCTTCGGGGTGTCTGTTTGAAACATTAGCTTTCTTTCTTCCTGCCGCTACCTAGTCGCCTCTATCGCTTCTCTTTTTGCTAGGTAAACTAAGCCGAGGCTCTCTTTCACTTTCTGCTCGGACTAAGTTGGTTAAGTTGTTAAACGGTGGGGGTCTTTATGCTAAGACGCAACGAGCCAGGTAGTCTGTTGGCTGTTAGCAGTAGGTGGTCGGTGGTTGCTAAGTTAGTTCCTCCGTTAGTTTCTTTTTGTGGTGAGTCCTTCATGTTGTCTCCCTCATTTTTGTTGATTGCGAAACGTACTGCGCCCCTGTAGGTGGCCAGAAAAAATTTCTGAAATCTCCAAATCCAAATCCAAATCTGTCGTCGTGTTCAGTTCATTCTTCTTGTGATTTGACGTTACTTCAACAACAAGAAGGCTCGGAGATGTCAGACCTCGCTTAGAAACACGAGTTTAAATAGAGAAACTGACAATGCAACCTCCCGAAATTTTTGTGAATCGAGTTGTATCAACGGGTTCCTGTCTGAGTGATCCTCTGACTCGTTTGGAATGAGCAGTGTCATTGATGTCGTAGGGATATCTACGAATAAGTTTGCTTAACAATAACATATTTGGCTGCTAATTCAGCCGATGTATGTGAGGCCTCTTTTTCCCCCGGAGCTCTTGCGCAGGGTCATGCACATTCTTTTTTCATGTTCATTACTCACTCGTAACGTCACTATTAGAAGCTTCATGATTGAACACAAGTGATTGATGCACATGCATGCCCAATTTTCAGATATCAGCCGCGACCATCATTTAGTACTACTTACTAGTGTCTCGACGTTTGCATTAAGTTTTTTGTTTTCTTGTGAGCCGAAATTGACAAGATGAAGGGTGCAGCACCGCCTCTTCGCGACAATCGCGACTTCCTCATCAAATTGAAGTTTTCCAACTTGGTTACCGGTGAACAGATTGAAGAAGATGAAGGGCAGCAAGACGATCCAGATCCACGCGCAAACCCCACCCTTCTCCATCGTGGCAATGACGCGACTGCTGGCGCGAGTGCGCAATTAACAATCTTCGACGCCAAGCAGAGACTTGCCGATGCTTTGAATAGAATTAACGGAAGGAAAGATACGAAGATTTGCAACATCAAGGCGGGACGAGAGGACAGGGGGTCGACACAGTTACAGTCTACCTCTACGGCTGATGAAAAGGCATCCGAGAATGGCGAGCAACTACAGGCACGAGCTCCGCCATCCTCAGGTGCAAGTAGTTCGACTTTCAGTGGGGACAGGAGAACGGATGGAGCGTGTGTGCGGCCGCAGCGCTTTTATCCCGAGCATTTTTCCCTTTTTCTGGGTGATGAGGCTTTTGCCGATGATCATGGGTTTTCGGACGTCGTGGCAGATAGCGGATTCGCAAGTGAGAATGAGAACTACGAGTACCCGGATGTTAAAAAGAGACAAAATGTTTTCCGCGAAAAGCGCATGAATATGGAGCATCTGGCTCGGTCCTGGTTCGTTGGCTCTGGTGGTACGACGGCTGCTGTGCCCCCGTTGTCAGCAATTGGGAGTGGTTTTACAGCGTCCAGCTCCAGTAGCTTGCCTGCATCGAGCGGCCTTGCTTTCGATAGCGGCGAGAGCGTACAAAGTTCAGGGAATTCGTGTACAGGCAATGGCGGAGACGGTAATCGGAGTGGGTCAATAGAAGA